AAATAAAGCAAAGGTCACAGGTGTAGCTCTTGTGGTGAGGCTTGGTCTGGTTCAGGGTGGTTGGTGGTGGCATCTCCTTAACATAACAAAAGGGAAAAACAATTTGGAAAAACAATTAAATGCTTCCAAACCCACCCTTTGAGTTCCTTGGGGCACCTAGTCGGTACCACAAGGGGTGGCTGATTGCAGGGCTATGGATGAAGCTTGGGTGTGAAGCTCAAAGCTGATGTGTCCACACGGAAGCACGAGAGGCTCTGCCTTGTGGAGTGGAGCCAAGGGTGAGAAGAGAAGGGGAGAGGGTCCAGGGCTATGACCCGTAAAGGATCTCCCAGCAGGAACTTCAAGGTGTCCACACATTCTACATTTGAAATTGGCCTTCCAGGTAATGAGGAAGGTGTATTTGTCAAGGTAGGAGGGTAGAACATATATTATTGAACAGTTTTCATCTTAAAATATTTTAGATATTGACATGTATGCTAGGCAAGCCTCCACTGTACTTCTACTCTTGGCTCCACAGATGTTAGGGTGGGTCTGGGTGCAATCATTGTGGAGCAATATTTGAGAAAAAAATTTTTAAATTAAAAAACATTTAGGGGCTGGCCCTGTAGTCTAATGGTTAAGTTCAGCATGCTCCGCTTCAGCGGCCCAGGTTCCTGGGTTTGGATCCTGGTCACAGACCTACACCACTTGTCAGCCATGCTGTGGCGGTGACCCACATACAAAATAGAGGAGGATTAGCTCAGGGTGAATCTTCCTCAGAAAAAAAAAAAAATTGATATTCATTCACCCAGAAATTCCCTGTCCAGAAAATCATGATGTAGAAATAGTCTTACATGCCATATAAGTACACACAATTTTCAGTACAAAGATGTTCACATCTTCATAATTATGATAATAATAATAGTAATAAAATGTGCCAAGTACTGTACTGACCACTTTAAATATTACCGATGAATCCCCACAATTTGATGAGATTAGTACTGTTATCTCCATTTTATAGGAGAGAAAATTAAAGTTTAAAGAGAATACCTAGTTTCCATTCTTTTAGTTTATAAATGGCAGAGCTGAGGGGCTGAGATTTTTTTTCAACTTCTAATTATGACCTTTTTCAATCTTTAAAAAACTGTTTTTATACATATGCCTATTGTACTAGTTCTTTTAAAAAGTCAAAGATTAAGTGAGACAGAGAAAGGCAAATAGTGTATGAGCTCACTTATACGTGGAATCTAAAAAAAACTGAACTCACAGATACAGAGAACAGACTGGTGGTTGCCAGAGGTGGGGTTGAGGGGTGGGGGAAATGGGTGAAGGGGGTCAAAATGTACAAAGTTCCAGTTATAAGGTAAAATAAGTCCTGGGGATGTAATGTGCAGCATGGTGAGTATAGTTATAATAACACTGTATTGTATGTTTGAAAGTTACTGAGAGAGTAGATCTTAAAAGTTCTCATCACAAGAAAAAAATTGTAACTATGTGTGGAGATGGATGTTAACTAGACTTATTGTGATAATCATTTCACAATATAGACATATATCACACGATTATGTTGTATGCCTTAAACTAATACAATGCCATATGTCAATTATATCTCAAAAAAAAAACCCACCACAGTGAAAAAAAAAGTTGAAGAAATTGTACAATAGACGCATATCACCAAGTTTCATATTTTACCACAATGATTTTATGAATATATTTTTTTCATTTGCTGAATCATTTCAAACTACATTGAAGACACAACATCTTAACCCTAAATATATCAACACACATCAAAATTATATTCTCCAACGTAACCACAATACCATTATCACACCTAAGAAAATAACAATTCCCTAAATATCACCTAATACCAGACTGTATTCAAACTTGTGTAATTCTCCCCAAAGTGTCTCTGACAGTTGTCTTTTACTTTTTTCAAGCCAGGATCTAATCTAAGTGGTTGATGCCGTCCAGCCAAAGACCACGTGGGGACATACCTTGAACAAAGTTGGATTGGTTGGCCCTTTGCAAGGAGGGAAAGAGCCTGCCAGGTAGAAAGGGCTGAAGGAGGCCTCTCAAGGAGGCTGTGGATTGGGTGCTGTCAAAAAGCAAGGCAAGTCTATGGTTATCTTGATTTTTATCTAGAAGCAGGAAGAACAAAACAGGAAAGAGGAATGTTTGGCCATTTTTGTGGTTTGGACAATGTTCTTGTTTTTGTCTGTTCTGAGACAGGAATGCTCTTGTTTTTGTCTTGCTCCATCATGGTCACAGAGTGGTCTGATTTTTGGTGTTCTGTGAAGTTGTTTATGTACAACAAGGGAACTCCGTGGTCTGGCCGTGAGAGTCAGGCCAGCTCAGCTGACAGCAGGCAGGGGCTGCTTTTTTCTTTCTCAGAGTCCACATTCTATTTGATTGTTATGTATCAATGGTCTCTTTTAGTCTAATACATCCCTCTTACTCTTTAAAAAATAATTGATAGAAAAGAAAATAAATAAATAAAATAAAAAGATAATTGACTTTCTGAAACCTGGGCCAGTGCGTTTGTCTTGTAGAAAATCTCATGTTCTAGATTAAACTGATTATTTCTTTGTCGTGGCGTTTAACTTGTTCCAGTAAACTGGAAAATAGGTCTAAGGGCTTGGTAAGATTTAAATTAAACTTTTTGGGCAATGATACTTTATAGGTGATGTCATGAGGTTAACACATCTTGTCAGGAAGTGCATCATATTAGATCATCTCACTATTAGCGATGTTAAATTTGATAACCCAGGTAAAGTATGGACAGCAGACTTCTCCATATAACGGTATGTCCATTCACCAGTTAGTCTGTGGGATGATATTTTGGTGCTGTGCCGATATCCTTCTCCCCAAGATCTTTTTTAGCATCTTTTGATTATCCTTACCTGAGTCAATTATTTCATCAAGGGTTGCAAAATGATTATTTTCTAATTCTGTTGTTTCTTCTACACTTATTAAATGGCATTTTTCTATAAAGGAGAATGTCCCCTTATCATCTGGGGATGAATTGCAGTAGGAGAGTGTGGTTCATCATTATCCCCATAAACGCTGAATCTTGAGGTAAGAATTAGCTGTATTAGTCACCTCAAATCATGACAAATGAGTGTTTTCCCCTCCTCCACCTCTAGTATCACTAAGGATTTGTGGATTTGTACTTATTCATTGTTTTATAAGAAATTATAATTATTATTTTTCTTGTTTGCTCAAATTATCCCAAATTTGGCCAGTGGGAGCTCCTTCAAGTTGGCTACTGGATTCTTTTGAAATGCGGCATCAGTCTTTAATAGCTTCCTTAATTTATGGGACAACAAAAATGTCAAGTTCACTGGTACCTTTTTCCCCCTTGGATTTGGAATTAGCCACTTCTGTAAGAAGTTTCCTTTTCATGTGGAATGATTTAGAAATCAGGATCTGGTTCCTGGGGGGATTTATGGTCACTGTGTTGCCATTACTTCTAGACCTTTTCAGGAAACAGAGCTAAAAAAACAATTACTCACAACAGATACAAGAATTCATACTAATATTTTCAATTCAAATATTGATAGCTTTACCTTATAATATACATAAAATAATTTAAAATTATAAATCAGTCTTACTACTACCAATAGAAGTACTGGGCAATGTTTATTATTTAATTGTAGTACTTTTTTTTTTTGCTTGAGGAAGATTAGAGCTGAGCTAACATCTGTGCCAATCTTCCTCTATTTTGTATATGGGTCATCATCACAGCATGGCTGATGAGTGGAGTATGTCCACGCCTGGGATCCAAACCTGCGAACCCAAGCCACGGAAGTGGAAGGCACAGAACTTTAACCCCTAGGCCATGGGGCCGGCCAAAATGTAGTACTTTTTATCTTTAGAGTATGTCTTCTAAAAATATACAGTCATATTCTTGTTTTCAAAAGTACTTAAAATAATCCTTTTCTCTACATGATTATGTTAAAATTTGATATATTATTTGTTTGCTTTGTTTTCAGTTTTACAGTTTGCTTTTATTTCTCTTTGATATATTTTTAAATTTTTTTAATATATAAAACATTTTCGGGGCCAGCCTGGTGGCACAAGCGGTTAAGTGTGTGCGCTCTGCTGCGGTGGCCCGGCGTTCGCTGGTTCGGATCCTGGGCAAACACTGACGCACTGCTTGGCAAGCCATGCTGTGGCGGCATCCCATATGAAGTGGAGGAAGATGGGAAAGGATGTTAGCCCAGGGCCAGTCTTCCTCAGCAAAAAAAAAAAAGAAAAAGAGGAGGATTGGCAGATGTTAGCACAGGGCTGATCTCCTCACAAAAAAGAAAAAAATTTTCGTTATTCAAAAGTTAGAACTCTACAAAAAATATTCTCAGAAAAGTCTTATATCCATCTCTATCCCTTCCACTTCACTCCTTCCCCCAATCAGTAACCTCAATTGCACAAAACCACTGCTGAAAGACATTTTTGAGACAATAGGTAAATTAGTTTCTTCCCCTAAGTTTTAGGTGAAACCAAGGTATAACTGAAAATCATATTAATATGGTTATGATACTGGCATTATCTAGGTGTAAAATGACATACAAAATATAGTGACAAAATAAAGATTTGCAAATCAGTGTGTATAGAATGAGCTCATTTTATAAAATAACAGAAATCAGAGGTATGATAAACTTGGCCCCCTGTACCTGATGCCCAATTAAAATTGACACTAACCTAGTTTTTAAGAGAAGTCTTCAATGAGATCTTGAAGTTGTGTTGTATCTTACTTATTGCAAGTTGTTGAATGAAGGCCGAACACTACTACAGATGAGATGCCCCAATCCCCCACCTCCAAGAAAGTAGAGATCTCCCTCCTCCTTACTCCAATTCACCTATTCAAGAAAAAAACTGTTTTTACAGGATTCTTCCCTTGATAAAACTCTTTCATAAACTTTTATCTTGTTTAGTTCTCAGAGGAACTATGGGAAATAAGCCAGAGATTTCAAATTAATGGCCCTAGGGCCAAATGTAGCCCCAAAACTATTTTATTTGACTCAAAATGTTTTCAAATATTTTAATTAGATACTGTGATTTAGAAAACAAGGAATTTATTATAAAAATCCAGATATCCAGGTACTCCTGAAAAACTGGAAGCCCTTGATGCAGGGACCCAGGATTCCAGGTTGGAATTGGCTGGGGCTGCAAAGCCTTGAGCCCTTTAGATAGTTTATGCCCTTTCCAGTTTACCACATTCTTACCAGACCAGATTTTTTACCTTCTTGGCTCTAGCTAAAGACATTTGAGAGTGCAGTTCTTCAGAATCTAAGTGTCCCTCCCAAGATGAGCCAGACTGAGGAGAACTCTACTCAAGTTTGCTTCCTCTACTGTAGACTAGCCATGACTTTCTAGCCATGTCATTGGATTTCAGCTCCCCGTAGAGAGCTCTGCTCAAAGACCATTGTGTAGAAGCTGGCCCAAGCTCTCCATGTAGCCACGGATGGAACTACTCACTGGTCACAGGGAGCCACTGTGATTCCATCGGAAGGCAACCATCTGGGATTCAACCAGTCTCCCCCACAAAGTGCTTGCAGAAAACTCTACTACAGAGCTTTTCTCTCAAGGGGCATCAGATTTCTTTGGTTCTTCTCTACAAAGCCTCAGAACTCTTAAGAGTGAACTCTCCTGTGGGATGGTAAGTATCCAGGAACCAGATGATCCTCTTCACTCTCGGGTGAGAGTTCTCATCCGAAGTCCCAGATCATCTTCTCAGCAGCTTCCCATTAGAGCAATAGAGCGAGAAGGTGTGAGCAAAACTCCGACACTGGTAGCACCTTCACTGGTCACAAATGTGAGAACAGGCAATCCAGACATGCCTCTCATCTGTTATTCTTGACCATGGGCCAATGTCAGCCTCTTCTGAGAGCTAGCCTCTCACACACCATAATTAACTTCACACTTCTCTCCACTTTCTTCAGTCTTCCTTCTGGTCTTGAACCTCAATGCTCTCCTTTCTCTATGGTTCCTGTAACCCTGTTCCACCATAAACTTCCCGACCTCTTCAACCTGTCATTCATGGCCCTCACTCACTCTCACTCACTGAAGGCTTTGGGGCTTGGTTTACAGTTTCCTTCTTCATCCCAATCCCGCACACCACCACCATGTGCACATTCCCTCCACTAACCCCTCCTCACAGATACCTGAACTACTTCTTGCCAACAACCTGTACCCTTGCTATAAATTATCTATATTTGCATCTCCTCCCACCTTCTCACTAGTCTCAAAGAGCCGTATTTTCTCCTATTGAAGAATAATCCTCCCTGGGGCCAGCCCGGCGGCATAGCGCTTAAGTTTGCGTGCTCCTCTTCAGCAGCTCCGGAGTTCAGCAGTTCAGATCATGGGCACAGACCTATTCACTGCTCATCAAGCCATGCTGTGGCAGTGTCCCACATACAAAATAGGGGAAGATTGGCACAGACGTTAGCTCAGTGACAATCTTCCTCAAGCAAAAAGAGGAAGATTGGCAACAGGTGTTATCTCAGGGCCAGTCTTCCTCACCAAAATAAATAAATACATTTAAAAAAGAATAACACTCCCAAATTCCGTCATGATTAGACTTCTATTTTCTCCTCTCACATTGTCCGTTAATAACTCCTCTATCCCCAACCCCCTACCATGCATACACTGTATTTTAATCTTTCTCTACTACATCCTTCCTCAGTCTGTTAAAATTCTTCGGTTTATCCCCGTTTCAAAGTTCTCTGCTTTATCTATAGCCTCCCTTCAATGGTCAAAGTTCTCAAAAGAATTGTCCACATTCACTATCTCCACTTCTTTACTTCTCTTTCACTGTTGGGTCTACTGCCAGCCTGATCTTGCCATCACCACTCTGAAAATTCTCTTATCAAAAATAACAAAAGTCTCCTAATTTTCTTTAATCTCTTCTCTTGACTTTCTGGAACCTCCTTCTGTTTTCTCTTTCTTATTTCCGTTTATTTGCCTAATTCTCTATCACCTGACGTTCTTTTCATGGGTTCCTCTAGGGCTGGTGTTTTTGAGGACACTCCACATCCTGGCTTGCTGCCTTGACCAGTGGTCAGTCCTCTTTAGTCCACACTGCTTCTGGTTTGACCCTTCTAAAATGCAAGTCTGAGGATTCTGGTGATTTGTCTGCTGTGGCGAAGGTGGATGAGGGTGGGGTTTCATTGCCTTTGCACTGACTAGGAATTTAAACTCGTTGGTATTATATTGATGACCATCCAAGACAGTGCTCTTTCCTTCATCTCCTTATCTCTTTCAGCAGCAACCTTCCACCTTCCCCATGGCAACACACACCAAATTCCAGCCCAGCTGAGCTCCTGGCTGCTCACCTGCCCACGCTTTTCTCTCTTCCTTCCAAATGCTTCCTCTGTTAAAATAAAGATTGCAGTTCAGTAAGTCTGGAGTGGGCCTGAAAGTCTGCATTTCTTACATGCTCCTAGGTGCTGCTGGTGCAACTGTCCCAGACCTCACTTTTAGTAGCTTAGAACTTGTCTCTTCTAAAACTGATTTATCTAAACCAGTCACAGAAGTTCTGCATGATTCCACTTACATGCGGTATCTAAAACAGTCAAACATATGGAAGCAGAGAGCAGAAGGGTGGTTACTAGGGCCTGGGGGGAGAGGGAAATGCGGAGTTGCTTTTCAATGGGTACAGTTTCAATTGTGCATGCTGATTAAGTTCTAGAGATCTGAGGTACAACATTGTGCCTATAGTTAACACTACTGTATTGCACACTTAAAAATTTTGTGAGGGTAAATCTCATGTTAAGTGTTTTTACCACAATTAAAAAAAAGTTAAAACTGATTTGCCTTTTATTTCAGATGCCTAAAATACCTTTTTTTCAGGTGCCCCTTGGCCTAATAGTCCCTGCCATTCAAATGACTAATAGAGGGCCAGCCTGGTGGCGTAGTTGTTAAGTTAGTGCACTCGCTTCAGTGGCCTGGAGTTTGGATTCCGATATGGACCTACACACCACTTATCAAGCCATGCTGTGGTGGCATCCCACATACAAAATAGATGAAGACTGGCACAGATGTTAGCTCAGGGACAATCTTCCTCAAGCAAAAAGAGGAAGATTGGCAACAGATGTTAGCTCAAGGCCAATCTTCCTCACCAAAAAAAAAGTAAAATAAAATTATTAAAAAAAATGACTAATGGAAAACGTATGCCTATGTGAGAAATTTTGGGATGGAGAGTGGAGGATGGAGATGGATGGTATGAAATGAAACAGAATGATGTAACAGGTTAACTTGGCATCTATTCACATTCTTTAGTTTATTTCATTATAAGACAAATACACGTACACCAGAGGATATTTATAAACCGCAAGGAAAATTGAATTTCCCCTAATGCCACCACTCAGTATAATTCAGTGATTCATTCACTCACTATTCTTTGAGTGCGCACTATGTGGCCGGCATGGTGCAGGCTGTAGGACATAACTGCAAACAAGACAGACATAGTCCATGGCTGATGGAGTCTATCGCCTAGAGCAGGGGTCAGCAAGTTACCGCTATGGGCCAAATCCTGCTTGCTGTCTGTTTTGGTGAATACAGTTCCGTTAGAACACAGCTACCACTCATTCATTTACAGATTTCCTGTGGCTGGTTTTACGCTACAAGGACACAATTGAGCAGCTTCCTACAGTTGAGTAGTTCAACAAAGACCACATGGACAAAAATCCTTAAATATTTACTATTTGGCTTTTTACAGAAAAAGTTTGCCAACCCCTGGTCTAGAGGCAATTGATAACATAATTTTATGTGTACGGGGCTTTTTGTTAGATTATTCTTAGGTATGTAATGATTTAAACGATTTTAAATTTTTTTCTAATTGTTGCTTATATAAACACATTTGATTTTCATATTAACTATGTAGTTAATAAATTTTTTAATTCACTTATTAATACTAATTGTTTATCTGTTGATTTATTTGGATATTGTTATACAGTTATGTCATATGCAAATAATTTTCTTTTTCCTTTCTAATCTTTATACCTTTCATTTTTTGTTTATTGTGCTAGCTAGGACCACAAGCATATGTTAAATAGAAATGCTGATAGTCTTATCCTGTCTCTTTCTTAATCTCAAGTGGAAAGTTTTATTTTTTAAATACAAAATTTTCATGGAAATATCTTCATATACTGTATTCAAGGAATATATATTCTTGGAATTGTTTTTTCTTTAAATACTTTTCTGAATTTTCATATTACATGTGTTCTAACCTAATCTTCTTACTTAATATAAGCATTGCCATTAAGTATTATGTAATTAAATATTCTTCTATAACATTTTCATGCTTATGTGGTATTCCATCTTATGCTTAGACCTTAATTCATTTAACCCACCTCCTAATGGAGTTTTCTGTTACCTACGAGTTTGTGACAAATTAATCACCTTGTTCTTATTTTCCACAGCAACTTCTGTATAGATTCTTAGTATGTATCCGGGGCTGTTCTAGGCACCATCTGGACCACAGAGCTACACGGCTCTCAGGAAGTTTACAGTTTGATTAGAAGATCCTGACACACAAGGAAGAGCACAGAGCAGAGGAAGGATGGACTTGGCATCTTTTGGACAGAGAGGAGCTGGGAGAAGGGAGGTGAGCCTGGAGAGGCAGGCAGGGATAGACCACCTAGGGCTGAAAGCTATGGTGAGGATTTTGGATTTTATTCTGAGAGCAATGGAGAGGCAGATGAATGACACAAAACAGTTTGCGTTTTGAAGTCCTCTGGCTAAGTCCTTTTCCATCTTCAGCTCTCTGTAAAGGTACTCTTCATGACCCTTGACTGACCATTGGATTCATCCATCCTCTGAAATGTTACAGTCTTCCTTGGCCTCCCCACCCCCACACCTCCAGGTTCGTCTCAATATAATGGCACAGCCCAATATGACACACTTCTCACTTTAAGTCATCGAAGAGCATGTAAAACTTTATTAAAGTTGCTCAAGGATGAAGAGGAGGAATTTACACTATACATCACCCAAAAACTTAATCTTTGAATCCCCCCCCCCCGCCTCAAAAGTTCCACCAACTACATCGGTGGCCCAAATCCTTTTATTTCCTCATCAAATTGAAGCCCTCTGCCTTTCTCCTTATCACCCTCTTCTCTCATCCCCACCCTCAGTTCTTTCCCTCTGCATCCCTCTATCCCTTTTCATGTAGAAGTAATCTCCTCTTCTTGTAATTTAATCTTTGCTGCCATTTTGAATTTGTTTATCCGAGTGGGGAAGGAGGGGAGAGGGAGGCAGAAGGAAATGAGGAAAAGGTGTGCTGGGGAAGATAGCAGTGACTTTGGTTGGCTCCAAACAACACTTTAGTTAATCTTAAATTAATATTCATGTGGCCATTCATTTTTTAAATTAGAAATATATTATGTTCTTCAGTTCTACAATTTATCTGATAACATTTTTACAAGTATTTTAAAGCAAAGAAATCTCCCTCTCCCTCCTAGAAAAAAAGAAAGTTATTTTTGACGATACCTTAAGGATACCCAAGCAAGACTCCACTTAAAATTCGTAAGCATGAGCTTGAGTGCCTTTGTCCACTGCTCCTCCGTGTTCAAGTGGGTTCTGATGGAGTAGAACGCACCCCTGCCTCCAGGGTCTTCCATCAGGCCTTTCCTCACGCGAATCCTGTAGGGCAGGCAGAGGCCCAACTCGCCTTTCTTGGCCTTTTCCTTGAACTGCTGCATGCAGTCCAGGAAAGCCACCATCGCCTGGTCAAATTTGTTATTCAGCAAAGCACTCTGCCTGCCGTTACAGAACAATGGCAGTTCAATGGAGTCATCTGTTAAAGCCTTTAGGTAGGAATGGTCTCCACAGGGGATGAGTCGATACCTTTGAAATTCCAGTCCAATGGTGTTGGACAGGGCAAGGAGCAGCAAGGCTGTCTGTCCCCAGGCTGCATTAATCTCCTTCCAGCAGACAGGGACAGTGGGGAGGCAGCCCAATCTGAAGTTATTGATGATGCCCATGGGGCCATCATGCCAGATCTCAAATGTCGCACTGAAGACATTGATTTTCTCCAGCCAGTCCAGCTGGGTCTGGGCGTACCACAGCCGGTTCTTCACGCTCCTCAGCTCGTCATGAAGTTCCAATTGCTGCCATTTCAATTTACTGTAGTCCCTCTGCAACTGCCTGTCCTTCTGGGACAGCGTCTCTGTCTCTGCCTGGGCTGCCTCGAGATCGGCTGCTGCTCTGTCTCGGTTCTTCTCCACCTCCTCCAGCTCCTGGACCAGCCTCGCCTCCTCCAGCTCCAAGCCCTTCAGTGTCTCCTGCAGTGTCTCCCTCTCGTCCTCACTGGTACTCTCCCTGGTCTCCAGGCAGCGTTTGTAGCTCTGACTGTCAGATTCTGTAAGAGCCAGTTGGGTGTCCAGCTGCAATAAAAGATTGTCAGTACAGTCCTCACACAGGGGGTGGTCCACAGCTTTTTCAGCAGA